CTAAGAACACCATGCTTGAGAGGCCAGATATGTAGGCACTCTAGTTAATGGTCCCAGCTGATCCCAGCCTTTTAGCCATGCCGGCATAAACACCAGACTTGTGAAGGAAGCCACCTTCAACTGTCCAGACCAGCGTACCCACCAGTTGAATACCAATGAACAATCTCAAGTGACACTCTTGAAGCAGAAGAATCACCCAGCTGAGGCCTGCTCAAATTCCTGACATGAAATTATGAGATGTAATAAAATGATTATTGTTTTAAGGTACTCACTTTCAAAAATTAGTTACAAAGCAATAGATAACTGGAATAATAACCCACTACTTAGAACTTAAAATTTACCTCGTGAAAATCATCCTGTACAATGCTACTACTTATAGACAACAGATGTACTTAAATTGGACTGTATTTTAGATGAATTGTAGTTGCAGGAGGGTCTTAGAATATAATCATTGTTTACAACATTATTGCTATAAGAAAATTTGCTTTATATTTAATATGGAATAATATTTTTAAAATGGGCATTTCAAATAGAAAAATTAGAATATTTCTCTTTCTCAAATGTGTACAAGAGACACCTGTTTCTTTCCATTTCCATTACCCCTTCCTAGCTCAACGCTTTACTACTTCATGCTTGGATTACTACTACAGCTCTCAGCCTTTATCATTCAATAAATACAGGTTGAGCTCTTACCATGAGCTGGGCACTGTGATAGGTGCTGGGGATATGATGATGAAAAAGACAAACGATTTCCTCCTATATCCACTATTTTGCATACGATTTTCATATTAAAGTTTCTAAAACATTGCTTTTATAAAAAAAAATTATTTATTTGCTCAGGAATCTACAATTTTCTTCTTATTCAAACAAGTTCAAATTCCTCTACTTAGATGCAGAGACCTATCATCATCTGACTTCCCCTTATGTAGATAGAATTTTCCCACTGTTTCACAGCATACTTTCTTGTCTCTTGGCAACTGGCTTTTTCACCATTCCCCCTACCCTTATAATTTACTAATTCCAAGGTCATGTGGTCCCACCCTGTGTATCTCTACCTTATGCCTATCTAAATCTTATTCATCTTTCCTTATGTCTCACCTTTTGCAAACAGATTTTCAGAATAGAATTATTTCACAGGTTAGAAAGAAAACACCTGGACTCCACTTAATACCATATATTTATTCTTTAGGACATATTTTTAAATGTTTTTGTCAGAGTAACATATTCGTAGTTTAAAAATAAAATTACAGTACTGTTGAATTGTACATTTGAAACTTATTTGATTTTATTAATCGATGTCACCCCCAATAATTTTTAATAAAAAAATAAAAAATAAAAGTAAAATTACAAAAATAAAAGTAATTCTTGCTCCACCCACTCCAATCTTCATTTCTATTTTTCAAGGCAATCATTTTAACTTTTTTTTATCAATTTCTTCTGGTATTTACCTTCGTGTCTTAAATAACATTCTTTTAGTGCTTCTCTTTTTTTAAATGAGAATTCAAGGTTTTTATTTCAAATAAACAGATACTATAGCTACAGCTATCACAGAAAACTGAAGGCAGCTAGGATAGGATGTGATCAATTCCCTTTGGACTACGTCAAATTTAAGATGTTTGCCTCATGTAGGTAAAAATATCCGGGAAGCAACTGAATAACCTAAATGTGCTCAAACTATACAAAGTAGCTTTAAAATGCTCCCATTCGTATGAGGTAATATGACACTAGTGACTGAGAACCAATTACGGAATCATACTGCCTGGGCTTGAATCTTTACACACCAGTAACCTTGCACAAGTTAATTGTGCCGCAGCTTCCTTATGTAAAGTGGGCAATACAGTACTTAACTCTAAGATTTTTGAGTAAATTATATAAAGTGCTTAGAATGTCATGCAACACATTAACTGCTTTACAAATGTCTACCCTTGGTTGAGATAAAAGATACTCTAGTTTCAAATTGTCACAAACGCTACTATTTTCTGAGTCGGGTTCCATGAAAGGTGGAAGCAAATATAAGTCACAAAGAACAGGGTACTTTAAACAATCTATTTTTAAGCAGCAGGCTTCAAAGGCAATTTCCTGATCCTTTAAATACAGCTATTTATGATGCAATTATGAGTATTAAACTTTCCTAACCAATGGACTATACTCTTTGTTGCACAGTAAATCACCTCACATCTTTCAGCAAGAGAAAAGGAGACACCTACTCAGTGTTTTTTTTTGTTTGTTTGTTTTTTGTTTTTGGGTTTTTTTTTTTAAACCTACCATGCCATGAATTCATAGGGAATGGGTTCCAGCAGCACAGGCTCCTTTTCACTGGTTCTCACAAAGTCTGCTTCTCTGGGTAGAACAGGCGCTTCAGTTGAACCCAGGTAACTTTCTCTTTGGATTCCTTCTTTTTTTGATCATTTCGTGCTTCTCTGGGTAGAACAGGCGCTTCAGTTAAACCCAAGGAACTTTCTCTTTGGCTTCCTTCTTTTTTTGATTATTTTCCTTCATATGTTTCTGGAAGCTGTCCCAGCTCTTAGAGTGCTTAATATGGTCAATACTATGTTAATTTTCTTGGCAAGAATCTTGCCCTTAACTTGTCTGTTTACAGCAATGCCAACCACATGCTGGGTAACATTGTAAATTCTTCCGGTTTGCCATGGTAACATTTATGGGGCATCCTTTTTGAATAGTGCCCATTCCCTTGATGTCTACAATATCACTTGTCTTGCAGATTCGCGTATATGTGGCCAAAGGAACAACTACATGTTTTCTAAAAGGCCTGGAGAACTTACAGCGATTGCCTCTTCTTTCTCCCTTTGTGTTGGTCATTTTGGCGAGTTACTAGAAGATGGTGGTTCTGGTTGAAAGGCTACTGCCGCTTCTTGATTTCTTAATTATTG